GACGTTGGTGTCCAAAACCAATGCCTTGCCGGCCTGCAACCATGACTTATTTGAATGCCTTTGACAAACAACCCGGAAGAAGGTGGAAGGAAATGTTAATCTGGCTTTCTTGAGCGGTCGGGCGAATCTCACTAAATATGTTCAACAAAGAGGGCGAATAAAGGTGTGACCGTGGCTACTGAACATTCTGATGTACCTGGACATGAAAACTATAGATGTATTGATCTCTCTACTTACGCAATAGACCGGCTCTATTTTGAACTTAAGCTTTATCTACTACAACAGCTCAGCACTTAAGCTACTGAAACAAAAATCTAGCAGCTCAAAAGGACTACTCAGTGCGATTAAGTGGTATGAGTAGATTGAAATGGAGGTATGTCGGATACACATTGCTATTTCATACATATTGGTGAAAACGTGCATTGTTATTGGTTGTCTAAGATGATAAAATATTGGAAGTCATATAAAAAATATAGACGCAAAGTCTGGTACCAACGCTTAGCAAGCTTATGGAGTGGTCACCAGTTAGGCAATGTGTGCTTTTAGTTGAACAGTGTAGCACTCCTAACCAATAATTTATTTTGATCACTGGGAGTCTTTAACTTGCACACATACGCTCAATGGTCAAAAGGTTCCGAGTTTGTTTTCATGCGCTACCGAAGAACTATGAAACACCCATCGCACTGGATACTGTACTCAATTTTAGGTTATCTTCACATATTATGTCCGTACACAGTGCCTATGAAAGCAAGTTCCAGTTAACTGCATTTTGAGGCTGTCAGATGTTTCCCTGCGATTATCAATATTTATTGGCTAGCATACGCCCATTGAAATATCAAAGACCGTTACGTGAATGGTGTAGACAACCTGAAAACTAAATATTCATCATTTTGATGCTAAAACAATTTGCTGAGATATTCACCTCAATAGATCTGCTTCGGAAAGCCAGAACACTTTCACACGTCAATCTTTATTGTATTCTCTATTTTCTTTATCCTATCATAAGCTTCCAGTGGAAATTAATAAAAAGGTTCGGTTAGAAATCTCTTGCCTAAATGAGCTGTGTGCGTATTTTGGAAAAAATCAGCTGATCTGCCCCAGAAGTACTGGACAGAATGCGTCAAGGTTTCGTGCATGCAAACTCAAATGAAACGCTCCAAAAATTCCCTCCCAAAAAACTGCGGAAGCACAACTCACATAACAACAAACAAGGTAACGTGGTTCAACCTTAGATAATAATCCAATTCCTGCCACCCATCTGTTGCGTTACCTTCTTCACGTTGCATTACACTGGTACACCACGCCATTGAATTCATTAGAAATTCTTGGCAGCCATATATCGCACTGTCATTCGTTTAGGTAACGGATTTGACTTGTAGAAGGCACAACAACACAAAAACATAACAACAACACAATCTGCTGGGTGTTCAAAATACAAAATAAAAGAACAGGCCAGTATCTCCTAGACAAGAACTCTGTCACTGATCCTAAAACTCCGAAACTGTGAGTTTAAGAGAGAGTATGGAAACTGCACCTGATAATGGAAATATAATATTCCGTCAGGGCGGTGCGCTAGCTATTTCTGACTTGTCTACATCCTCCGCATCGTCTTCATATTTACTTGTATGCACTGGAATATTCTATTAGTGGATGCGGCAGGGGGAACAAAATGAAACCTCCTTGCGATTCTGCCCTGTTAGTTCAAAAAGACTTCCTAACCTTCTGCAGATTGCCGCTGAAAAAACAACCAGAATTTATACTCTGTTCAACAAGTCCAGGTATACTAGACAGTCTTGGTTGCATAGATTGTATCAATGTGTTTTACGTACACAAGGATGATCAGCCCAGTGTGGAGAGTAACCTCAAGTGAGATGGCTTTGTTGATGCCAATCTAGAAGTTTTATGGTGATTTGAACCGCTAGCACCGGGTGCATATTGTGGATAGCGTCCTCCATACTTTGATAAGCAAGGATGCGATCGCCATGGAAGTGTCGCCACTTTTGGCGTCCTTAACAGGTTGGTGTAAGATTGTTTGCTTGGGGTCTGTATTACTTTGAGTATTTTCCTCTGAATTTGTTCGGGCATCCGCTAATCAAACTAAGGCCCAGAGATGTCAGACCTCAAAAGTAAATACCTCACAAGATCCAGGACACATCGATCAGTATTCGCCTCTTCGGTCTATTTTTAAGTTTGAAGGGGCTAAGATGTACCCTTGCACACAGAATGCTAGTGCAGTGCTAAATTTTCAGCTTAACTCACCATCATCAAGGGAACAATATAATAGTCCAAACACTGATGATTCTCTGATATATTAGATGCATGAATTACGGTTTTATGTGGGCTGAGGTACTGCCAGCGCACCCAAACGTAGACAGCAAGACTCTTAGGATTTTAAATCAAAGTCTTTAGTTCGAAAGCCTGATTGAAAGGCATTGGTGTTTGGCGTATATTCATGGTTAAAGAAAATGTTGACACAGTTGTTCCAACTCCTAATTTGATGATCCGGAGAACCGTGTTGGCCAGACTTACAATCCCGTATGAGATATTCTGAGCTTGTCTTAAACACACCCCCTCACTATAGTTCAATGGGTCACGGGGCACACAATTCACCACACCACAGTAACGCCCGATCGTCTCTTGGTGGAATGTCCAACAAGGTGCTGATTGATAAATCCTATCCGTAGATGAGAGTAAGGAGTCTGGAGGACAAGAAAATAGTATCATGTTTCGGAACGGCGGAAAAGCACGTTAGACGATAGTTGATCCTTCGTACGCAAATTCTCGCTTATTCAGGTCAGCTTGGGTGCTGAGATAAACCGATCCAAAAATCTAGCTTATCATTGGATGGCATACAGGTAGGATGGTGATAAAGGTTATAAATCGTAGGCCAGTTACTCCAGTACCAAGGTGCCGTACGGACCACAGACGCTACCATACGTTTTGTGAGAGAGCACAACTCCACTTAATCCACGCCATAGTTCTACAGAGATTGCTTGATGTTGCAATCCTCCAAAGACCTCGCAAAAATTAACGTGAATGATACTAATGCCGATGTCCCGTTGGTTTTCACTGGCAACATTAGAATTATACTTTTACTTCAAAAACCACGTTGTTGCCACAAGTTAATGGTGCTGCTCAATGGTAGTTAATGGTCTAGTTTATTAGCTCAAAGTGGGCTAAAAGTTTATTGAACGCAATTTATTTAGGTGGAGTGGATATGTTTGGAGGCTCAACTTTGGTGTTTTATCATCTCCATCGTGAACTTGGAACAAACAATTGAGTGAGAAAAAATGAACTTATTATGAACCTCCAAAATGCTATGCATGGCATGAGAAATGGTACCTTTGCCGTCCAAAAGGACGAGAAACCTAAACCAAACTTGAGTGATCGAACAAACATTGAGCAAATAAACTATCATCAAACGACCTTTCTAGTTGAATAAACACGCAAATGAGTGTTCAGAGACAAATCATAACGCAGTCTACAGGACTAAAAGAGCCGGTAGTAATAAAAGAATACAGTGTTGATGCAATATCAAATGATTCACTTGCAGGGGGGACGGACCACTGCTGTTCGAACGACCGGACAAAGAAAGAGCGCAACGGCCAAACGGAACACACAACCTTTAGCACCAAGATCACGCTGTGATAGAGCCATCTTCAGCACTATTTGAAGAATTGATGCAAACAGACCCAGCCATAGGAGGAATTAATGTTGAAGTCTCTTCACATGGGATACATTAGGCATATGGCAGATGGCCACATGCGCGTTTGGGACCGCCGTATTGGGGTGCGGCAAAATATGGTCATGTTTGAACCATAAAGATGGCTCTTAAATAGCGTATTCAGCAAACAGCACGAAACAAATCCAAATGGAGTGAGAGTAGTCATACTTTCAGTGTCTGAAATTTACGTTGTACGAGTGTCATAATCCTACCAGGTGTACCCGCTGCTTGTTGACACAGTGATTTGAAGATTCCCTAGTCCTCCCGCCGCTTGTGCGTTGCGGCATACGTGAACTCAAAAGACAGGGTTATTTGAAAACATCGAAGCATGGCACTTGAAATATTAAACCGTAATTGGTTTGTACCTGTCCATTTGAAAGCTACGATTGGGTCTGATTACAGAAGTCCGTGACCGAGATTACCAATCGGCCTCAAGACTTTTGAGTCGCTGCTGCACTTTGGAGCGAAACTGAGTGAGACGAAATCGAGAAATGTATGAGGACGATGAGGAGAGGGGAATGCGGTATCGACTTTTGCGGTGCTTCATCAACAGTACGTGAAAGCTCTCATAATGATCCGCTAAACCAAAATGCTATATCGCAAAAACTGAAGCCTCCTTGAGAAAACAATGGTCAAAAACTGAATAAATCAAACGGATAACACTATGTTTGGCTAGTTGTTATGATGGTTAGCAAATGTACCACACGTGAGTAAAAACTGTGCGTATATCACCTAGACTTCCAGAAAAATAACCACGAATAAAAGCGTTTGAGGATTTTGCAAAACTAACGGCCAAGGCGAACTCATTGACCACAAATGCAGTCAAAAGACCGAAGATCGGGCTGCAAATTAACGAATCTTACCTTCGCAGTCTCCGGAGCCTGGAAAAAATTCCCTCTTTTTTCATCGTCTTGGAAAGCAAAATATAGTGAGCTTTGGTCGACCAAAGATCTATATGGAGATCTATATGGAGAGGAAGTGGCCCACGGAACTTTTGCCGCATTTAAAAAGCGTGAGTACAATGTGGATAATGCCAGGCGAGCTAGGAATCATTGGTTGGTCAGGTATAGCTGAGTGGAGACTCACGTCACGCGGAGTGGCACCAAATATACTATATATTACGGATTTCAGTGATCGGTTTATAAGTCATCACTGTCACTTCATGGATTCATGGATCATATGAAAACAAAACATCCGTGGCTCCCTTATAATTAACCTCTAAATAAACAGATACCACGGAAATCATTTACCCAAAAACTAAGAAACCATAACTCACTAAATATTTCCCATTTATCTGGTTTGGAATTGAGTTCTGAGAAGAATTCGCTTGAAAATTCGAGGATGTCATCTGGGAGAACTTCGAAGACTCGGGAAGAAAAGAGTTCCAATAACAGCACTAGCCGTGGTCTTAATTTCGACCATTTATCCATGGCTGTAATCAGTAATCGCTCTTTTTCAATTCCGCGGACCTGAAGGTTGATATAACACAGTGTGACTTACGTATTCAAACAATGATATGGGTCGTAGGAGTCGAAGGAAGTACGGAACTTGGTAACCAAAGCTGATTTCGCAGTGCATCATTGGCTGATAAATTGTTCTCCGTATGTAAATGGGTGCGTCAAAATAAACGCTCTACATCATCATGACTCCTATTCTGATCGCGTGAATTCACCGGTTACGTCGGCCTCATCCGTATTTCTGAGGGCATATGTTCATAGATCCGAAGATGTGGAGTTTCCTCTTCCTGAAATCCTCACGCCCCATCATCTCCAAAAAATACAAGCCACATCCTAGACTACTGCACATGTGGCGTTTTGTACCTTTATTTTACTTCCATTATAACACTACGTATTTCATCAATTGCATAATCGTTTTTTGTTTGAATACGAAACACTACAAAAACGCGCACTTGTACAATTTCACAGAATACAAGCGTGGTCACGTGCTTCGACTCTCTCTTCTGATTTCGCTCGCGCTTGCAGCGGTCATTCGCGAGTCTCATGTACTAACTCTGGTACCAAAACATTTCAAACATCTTCGGAATCTATTATACGCGGGAACTGTTCAGAAGAAGACCTCTGGACCAACATAATTAGATTATTGTTTATTCGCTGACCTGGGCCAACGACAAACTATTTTAAAGAGAACAATTGTTAGTGAGTCTGTTCCGTCTGGTCTCTTTATTTTTGTATACCCAACCTAGCGTAATCATTTTTATTTCTTTTCCACACACCTGGTAAACTAACTTATTGGGTAGCCAGACCACTACACGCACAATTGCTTCGATGCCACATTTGAGTTTTTTGAAATAAGCACTGATGATTTTCGGGCACTGATCTGGTCTGTCACGCTGTGGATGGCAACAGTACATCATCCAGGGCATATTCTGCAAATTGCTCTAAATCTTACGAATCAAAATTTACGTCTTAAGATAACACCACACCGGACGGATGCGAAAGATTTGCCGAAGGGTTGGATGGTCTTGCTCAGGTTCTCAAATGACGATAGGGTTTCCCACTAGTTTTGGAGGGTGAGAACAACGTCGTCCGTATAGTTCACGTCGACAGACTTGACGTTTCGGCATCAGATAAAACCCGGGGTTCTCAGGATTATTCGATCTGATATCATCACTTTTCTTTGTGGGGAAAATTAGACAGCAATGCACATTGGATGCATATGTATAAAACTACTCGAACCGAAAAGCGCCCATCGAGCCCTCAAAACGAATGCAGGTAGAAAAACAGTATGAACGGGAATACAGTATACTATTTGCACACATCTGGAGCACTTAACGTTACACACATACACCTGGAAAGAAACAGTTGACAAGGTTTAATTCAGGGAGGAACCGGTGGAAACAGGACTGTGGTTACTGTGAAATGAGGACAGCGCGATGGTATCTCCATAAAGTCTCTTCCTGGTTTTCTCTCAGTTTTCGGTTTCCGTCTTTACACCTCTTTGTAGGACAGTGTGAACTTAATGGCAAATGTTCTAGTTTCGAAGCAGATCAGGCGAATTTCTCCCAAGATGGTTACGTTTAGAATGGGTACCTCTTCGCAATCCGTCATTGCTATCGGCTAATACATCGGCCTTGGGTGATCCGTTTCATCAAAAGAGGGAAAATAAGTTACATGGGAAGTGGAGGAAAATTTCACACTGATCTTTAAACAGGGCTTGGCAGCAGTTTTTGAAGGGAGGTGCTCGGTTGAATCCTAGTGAGTAAGTGGTTGGAGTTCCCAATTGACTGCTCAGGGTTGAAAATTCAGTCAAGCAACTGTGGGCAATCAGCGCAGTCGTAGTTGAAAATGTTCAATCACGAGACTAAAGGGCCATAATGCTTGTTGGTTGGAGTGTTTATACTTATTCCCGGTATCTCCCTACCTTAATGTTTGCAACCTAGGACCCCTGTAGGCATTCCAATCCTCCAAAAAGACACTTCAACCTCGGCCCTGGAAGTTGGTCCGGACGTGTGAACCCCACGATATGGAGGATTTTCAGTCTGACTGAAACCAATTTCAGGATGATGCTCAAGATCCGGTAACGCAGTGAGTCTTTAAAACGTGTAGAATTCAGGATGGTATGATCCGAAGGGGTTTTCTGTAACTGGTCGAGGTTAGTCCGCTTCTCAGTGTCCAAGGACTATGCGTTTCTTGTGCGCCACCAGAAAGAAAAAAGGGAACAACACCGCATGTTTTTGATAAGTTCGTTTATGTGGGTATCTCGATGGTCAAATATGTGGATAATGTGGTAGGTCACATTTTCTTACACCCAAGCTGGCTGCAGCAGCGCAGCCAATCAGACGGCGGAATCCTACCGAATCAGCTTCCAGTGATGGTTGATCCAGTCACTAGGAGCATGCTGAAGGTAGTTTCGCCAAAACTAGGGGGCTTTTGAAGTAAAAATTTCACACCGTTGCTCTAGTTTAGGTGCGTACCCCGTCGTATACGCACGACCGTTTATTTGAGGTGGAGTAACTTCAATGTGAACAATACCGCTAAATCGCATGTAAATAGTACCGTACTAATAAAGCGTAAATACGAAAAGTTGTCCAATGCCAGGATCCATGGTGTCCCCACATTCTAGTCCAACTACCCGAATCACGACGTTCATCACGGGGCTGTCCAGAAGCTGAAGTATCCCACTGCAAGGAATGCACGGCACTGCCACGCCTAGTTTGATAGCATACCCGCAACAGTCCCCTTTCTACTTGAACCGCGCCCACTCGTCCTTTTATCTGCAACCACAATCAAAGTATTCAACCGGCCATAGCCGCCTGCAGGAGGCGTCCATTCCATTGAATCTAAACATCTCGGTATCTTTTTTCTCCTCACCAAGTCAGTTATTCTCCGCACAGTTCGCCTTCTTCCATGTCCGTTTGTGTGAACTCCTTCTCCAAATGATCTTTGCACCCGACATCTCTTCAGTAGCAACTATGGTGAGTCTTTCCAGTTTCACTGCACACTGTGATTCTGAGATTCCCACTACCATTTATGCGTAGTGCTAATTCCCCACTTACTCATTACCACTGACGCTCCACGTCTCTGGCCATACGCCCAAGAGTTGAAGGTCACGAAGCTCCTCGGCAGTATAGTGATCAGTTCCTCGGTAGTATAGTGGTCAGTATCTCCGCCTGTCGCGTGGAAGGCCCGGGTTCGAGTCCCGGCCGGGGAGCAATTTTGACCGACTATCGCCTGGCAGCTATAGGCCTATAAGCCTCACTAGCGTGCCATGCAAGGTGATGGAACGCATTCTGAAGCAAGCCATCCTAGATCACCTCACTTCCAGCAATCTGATATCTCCAGCTCAACACGGATTTCTCCC